GATCCCGACCCTTGACGCCTGCTGTATATTTCGATTTAAAGCTTTCGTGACTGCAGGGATTCATCTTCTTGGTTCTTTCGGTAAAGTCACGTAGAAGGGAAATAAAAAAAAACAATTATATTATTTTATCATGTTTTATTTTTATTATTTCCCTTCTACGTGACTTTACCGAAAGAACCAAGAAGATGAAGCCTGCTGTATATTTGAAGTTTGCGTGTCTCTCTCGCCGTGGTCGCGTTGATTTTTCTCCAGGTCCTCCGTTTTTTTCCCCTCAACATTTAGAACCAACGTGCCTTTGGAGTACTTGGCTGCTATAAATTTCCACGTGATAAGCCACTTCGTTGAGCTGCCATTTGTGGCCAGGTCGCGTCTGCAACAACAAAAAAGAACTATAGCTCAGTGGGCCTTACCGGGTAAAACATAAATAAATGTGTTTTACCTTGACAGAGTACAGTTATTAGATTGTTTTCATTTGTCTTGCTGGAACCATGTTTCTATTGAGTAGCCAGGTCACGATCGAAAACGGGCATTCATTGTCGACTGGGTTTTTACCTGTGCCAAAATAAACCAAGGCAATTTTTGTTACTAAACTTTAAATGCCGGGTGTAACTGTCGCATCGCAGAACCTCAAAGAGGTGGCGGCGACTTTGCGGAGGGCTTCATCTAGCAGTGGATAGCCCGATTTAAGCCTCTCCTCTCTACGTAGTTTCGCAAACACGTAGTCACTTCATTAATGCCGCTACCCGATTTGCGTCGCCTCAACCCCCACACTCACGTCGCTGAAGGCATCGTCCGTCCTTTTAAAATCCTTTATATTAAGTTCGCTTGCTTGCTTGCTTACGACCGTGCAAATCTTTCGGTCGTTTTTTAACCCACTTCCCGTGATCCAATCGAGCTGACATTTTCCACACAGACTCGTTGTGCGAGACAATTAATGTTCGTGAAAAAAAATTGCCAAAATGTTACACTTTTTAGGCAAAAAAAAATATTTTACATTTATTCAAATAGAACTCATTCATGGCTTTGGCTGAACGTCAGAGTGTAGGAGCCCAGAGCGTGACACCTCCACAGGCCGTGGCGGAGTAGCGCAGTTGGTAGTGCCCTCGCTTCCCATGCCAAAGGTCGTGGGATCGATCTCCGCGTCCTCCACAGGCGAATATATTTTTAAATCCTTTATATTAAGTTCGCTTGCTTGCTTAGGACCGTGCAAATCTTTCGCTCGTTTTTTAACCCACTTCCCGTGATCCAATCGAGCTGACATTTTCCACACAGACTCGTTGTGTGTGACAATTAATGTTCGTGAAAATTTTTTTCCAAAATTTTACACTGTTTAGGGAAAACAAATTAAATATTTAATTACCAATTGCTTAATACTGGCAGACAATCATCTGACCCATAAGTGGCAGCCATCTCAAGCCAGAGGACGAGAAGACTCTAGCCGCCATGCATACAAAGGATTTATAGTGAAAAACTTTGTTTTTACGGGTTAATTTGTTCAGTTATCCTGTCGTCTCTCAGCCTTCGCCTCCACCATCTAACCTCGTAAATATCTTTGATTGACGTTTCAATATTCAACGTCACACCTTTCAGGAATGCATCTCCCCCGACGTAAGCCGGGGTCTAACTGTATTGTGGTGTGAGTGGGTGAGAAGGCTCGTGAAGGACGCTACTGGGGAGTTGGAGGCAGTCGGTCGTCCTCCAGCAACAACGGAGGGCAGAGGAGCGATGCTCGCAACCATGAGCGGAGCCGGCAGGCGGCTAAAATGCAGCAAGTTGGCACAGGAGGGGTACAGCTGGTGCATCTGCCAGTCTTCTCAGTTGGTCAACCCATAGCACCTGAGTCTGCCCCGTGACCTGCTGCCAGCGAGCCTTCGAAATATGAAAAATAATAGGTTCTACCCTTTCTAGCAATAAAACAGGTGTTAAGATGTTCAAACACCAAATAGAAACCTTTTGCAAGGAATAAAGTCTCCATTAACCACACGTACTTGTGGTGAACATGCAAATGATCATGTTCTGATAATATATAGAGCATTGTCTTTGAAACTGATTGGCCTACACCAGAGACAGCATTCTTCATGGTTTAGTCTCACTAGTGTCAGACCAGAGAACGCCAAAAGGCAAACAGAGCCTTCGACACTTCACGTGGCCTCAAAGTACACCTGGCCTGGCACAGGTGCCCTCGGGATGTCGCTGCCACTTAAACTAAACATTTTTATTTTACCAGGTAAGGCCCACTGAGCTATGTAGCTCTTTTTCAGAAGCTGCCCAGCCACAACTGATAGCTCAACGAAGTGGCTTATCATACGCAAATTTCTAGCAGCCTAATGCTCTAAATGCATATTTCCAAATGCGGAGGGAAAACCGGGGCACCTAGTGGCGAACGGCGACCGTTGTTGTCGCATATCGTAGCGCCGACTGTTCAATCGCACGCAGGTGACCCAGAAATGCGAGCTGCGGCGGAGGTTGGCGGGGTTGCTGAGGGCTCTCGCGGAGCGGGAGGGGGACCCGGAGCCCCCCGCGCCGGCGACATCGACGACAACGCCCCTCGTCGCCGCGCCTGATCCGGCGACAGCGACGACAACTCCCCTCGTCGCCGCGCCTAATCCGGCGACAGCGACGACAACTCCCCTCGTCGCCGCGCCTGATCCGGCGACAGCGACGACAACGCCCCTCGTCGCCGCGCCTGATCCGGCGACAGCGACGACAACGCCCCCCGACGCCGAGCCTACGCCTCGGCACGACGGAGGCGACGGCATGAAGCGAACGTGAGACCGAGACGCGCAACAGCTCGGTCGTTACCAAGGAATTTACGTGCTTATGAAGGAGGGCTGTGGCCCAAAACGTCACGGATTACATTTTTTATTTTTGTTTTCCTTTTAAGGCAGTTTGGTTGGTGAGTGTGTCGAGTTTTGCGCCACTGCCAACGCAGTGTCTCCACATTGTTTGGGTATTACTATTGTTGTTATTATTACGATTATTTGCGCAGGAAAGCCTCGCTAAAGTTTCCAGACTTTTTCAGGAGGGTCCTGCCATGTTTTCGCAAAGGGCGGCTGATGTTTCTGTGTTTAGTCCCAATTGAATTATTTGCAGGTCATGTTTTCAGCATTGGGATGGTTTCTTGCCAATCCCAGTTTCTTTTGCTGGAGAATTTGGAGCAAACCCAGGCCGAAACGATGGGAGAATATACAAACTCTGTACAGACAAGGCACTCAAGTCAGGAATCGAACCCAGTTACATCTTGCTTTGAGGCACAAGTGTTACCACTGTGCCGCCTTGCCGTCCAAAACGATAAACAGACTTGCAGACAAACACCGATACACTGAGAGACAGACAGGCAGGCAGGAATGCAGTTGGACAAGTGAATAGACATTGCCAGACAGGCCTAAAGAGAGACAGACAGAGAGAACATACAAACTCCACGCAGATAGTCGGAAGTCGAACCCAGGACGTCGTCGTGAGGTGCGAATGTTACTGCTGCGCTGCCACCTTGCCGATGATCGGATGACGAGCGTCGTTGTTGCAATGGTTTACGTAGCGTGGTGTAATCGGCGAGTAAGCGGTCAGTCGGCCTCATCGTCATCATCACCAGCTGACCGTGTGGCTCAGGAGGACTCGATTCTGTGCCACGATATAGTTTCACTCGATTTGTATAAAATATTTTTTGACAATAGATAGATAGATAGATCGTTTATTGTCATTGTCACCAGTACAACGAAATTTAAAATGCTCACCAGTCAGGGCCTCATTCATAAATTTAAATTAAATAAAACAAGAAAATAAAAATAAAATTAAATGAAAGATAATCAATTTATACTATATATAAAAACAGCCCAAGTATACCCACATACCCACATAAGGTTACATTTTGTCATTGCACATCTCTATTTCACAGTCAATTGTAAACGCTATTACTTAATAATTAATTAGCATTATTGAGTGTGGTGATCGCTGTAGGATAAAAGCTCTGTTTGAATCTGTTTGTCCTTGTTTTGACTGATCTGAATCGTCTGCCTGATGGCAACAGCTCAAACAGTGAGTGTCCAGGGTGAGAAGAGTCCTTTATAATGTTCTGTGCTTTTTTGATGCAACGTGAACTGTGTAGTGCTTCCAGTGTGGGGAGATGGCAGCCGGCGATCTTTTGGGCTGTGTTGATGACCCTCTGGAGCGCTTTCCTCTGAGCCACTGTGCAGCTGGTGTACCATACACAGATGCAGTATGTAAGAATGCTCTCGATGGAGGCTCGGTAGAAGGACACCAGCAGTTTCTGTGTGATGTTATTATTCCTGAGAATTCTCAGGAAGTAAAGTCTCTGCTGGGCCTTTTTCAGAAGCTCAGTGCTGTTGGCGCTCCAGGTCAGGCCCTCCCCAATGTGGACTCCCAGAAAGCAGAAGTCTGCCACCCTCTCCACACAGTCCCCGCTGATGATTAGTGGTGGAGTGTCCGTTTTCTTTCTCCTGTAGTCTATTATGAGCTCCTTGGTCTTTGCGGTGTTAAGGAGCAGGTTGTTGCCCCTGCAGTATGCTGTCAGCCGCTCCACCTCGTCCCTGTAGGCAGACTCATCCCCCCCAGAGATGAGCCCCACAACTGTGGTGTCATCAGCAAACTTCACAATGGTGTTGCTATGGTGAACGGCGGCACAGTCATGTGTGTAGAGGGAGTAGAGCAGTAGAGCAATCGATAGGATGGATAAAGAAATGCATCCATCCTTTGAAAGAAAACTCGCATCCTACTCACAAACAGCGAAAAGGTTTGTTGTCGACTGCATGCGTTTATGATGTAGAGAATAGCTTGTAAGGAGAAACGAGCTACGGATGGCTGAACGGGCGACCGTAATCGCTGTGACTTGTCAGCGTTGACGGTGGTGAGCGTGCGCTGTCGCGACATCGTCACCCGGCCGCTGCGATAGCGGTGAGCGCGCGCCGTCGTGACGCCATGTTACCGCAGCGCGGTGGAGAACTTCACTGTTGTGCCTCCCGTTTTTGTCACGGCAGAAGCGGGACGCGGGGCTCTGCTCACGTTGCCCCAGAGACCGCGTGTGCGCCCGCGAAGCAGCCTAAGCAGGAGGCGCGGAGCGAGGGGACGCCAGAGAAAAACACGCGCCGGACAAACAGGTGCGTGCGTGCGTGCGCATTTGGCGTCCGCCGCGACGGAGCGGCAGCCGGAGGTGCTGTTCGAGATTGGAAGTGCGCGGGCCTTCTAGCCCCGGCCGGTTTAGCTCAAGCGACACGCGCTTGCTCGCTTGTGTCCGTCAGCGAAAGAAGCGGGGACGCGTCCGACGGCGATGACGGCGCCGGCGGTGGTGTCGGCGGCGGCGAAGAAGGAGGTGGAGCCGGCGGCCCCGGCGGGGCTGCGGCGGCTGCGGGAGCGCTGGGGGAACGCGCGCTTCGCCGTGACGCCGCTGGTGGGCCACAGCGACCTCGTCACCGCCGTCGCCTTCCACGGATCGTACATCGTCTCCGGCAGGCAAGGACACGCGAGCTCTCGCGAGAGAGAGAAAGAGGGGGGGGGGGGGGGAGGTGGGGGTACTCCTCTCCCTCGTGCGGAGAGAGAGACGGACAACATTTTTATTTTAATAGGAGCCCAGTTTTATTTATTTACCGAATGCTTTTACACAGAGTACCAGATACACAAGGGAATACATTCATAACTTCATCAATTAAATGCATATGTATGTCAATGTTACGTGAGTGGATGTCAACCCACGTCCACTCACATAACACCGACATACATATATATACATACATATATGTATGTCGAAGTTATGTATTTTACAGAGTACAAAGCATGAGGCAGGCAGGGCAGTTACAGAAACTCCGCGGACCTCAGTCCCGAACTTTGTGCTCCTGAGTTTAACGACGGGGAGGTGGGGGGGGGGGAAGAGTGGGCTCGCCATTCCACCGATCGGGGACCACGAGTGGGCTGTGTGTATTTTAATATGAGGAGGGGACGGTGAGGGGAAACAGAACTTTAAAAAGAAAGTGTAGGGAGCAGGGGGGAAGGAGGGGGTGCCGGGAGGAGTGGGGAAGGGGCGGGGGAATGGTCAAAGGAGAGGGAGGAGCACTTAGGCAGGAATAAATTACACACGCACATTGCTGAACTTATCAACTTATCATTGTCCCTAAGAGCGGTGATGGACTCAAGCCCATCCCCGGAGGAAGGAACTAAAACTAAACTATTTGAAACCAAACTATTTTTTCAATTTTATCAGGTAAGGCCCCACTGAGCGACGTAGCTCTTCTTCAGAAGTGACCTGGCCACAAATGATAGCTCAACGAAGTGTGCTCATCATCATCTAGAAAGTTATTGCAGCCAAATCCTCTAAATGTACGTTTCTAAATGTGGAGGGAAAAGCTGGAGTACTCAGAAAAATCCATGCAACCACGGAGAGAGAGACACGCAAACTCCATATATACAGGCGCATACCAGGCGAGGGAGTTAACATCTAGCCACCGCGATACTGGGCCGGCACAGCTCAGTAATTTGGGGGTAATTTTTCGATTGGACCGTGATGCCTAGCACACAATGGGCTGCTTGTTTGAAATAACGCCACAGGATCTTCAACGAACCACTGTGAAGCAGATGGTGCGTAGTATTTTACGCTTAATCCACCAGCAGTAATAACCAGGGCAGCCACTGCAATCGTACCGCGAACCTCTGAAAATAGAGGTACCTCTGGGCCCTGTCACTTCCCTGTGCATATTTCACGATGGCATTTTTGTATTGTACGAGCATTTGTTCGTGTGCTCTGTGCCGTGTTGTTGCGACGTCGCCTGCAGCCGCGATACGACGGTGAAGCTGTGGCACGCCGCGACGGGCACGGAGGAAGCCAACCTCGGCGGGCACACAGGCAGCGTCACCTGCGTGGCCATCGCCCCAGCCGCCACCGCCACCGCCATCGGTAAAAATTTACCTTCGCTGAACTACGGCCTTTGCTAAACTGGGGTCGTTACTGAACCAGAGCAATCGCTAAATCGGAGTGTGTGTCATTGCCGTGTGTTCAGGGAAGGCTCTTGATTGCGCGGACGATGAGGATTTCTTGGCGAGTGGATCCAGTGACTGCACAGTGAAGATCTGGTCTCTGCGCACAGGTAAAGAGAGCGATCGCTGGGTGCCGAGTCACCCTGTGCCGCACAGGGACAGCTGCCGCTGGAGGGTGCCCTTTGAGACGTTAGAAATATAGATACAATGTGTGTCGATCGTCGCATGCGAAGCGCTTTGAGACACAGGGTGCTCTATAAAAACAAGCGATCGTTGTCGTCGTGGGTGACGCGGCCGCAAAACGGTCGCTCCTTCGCTGCGCCCGTTGTAGAGGTTCGCGGTTGAGACCCAGCGGTCGTCCTGGTTAACGCCGCGGGTGCATTCGCCGTAAAACACCACACGCCGTTTGCTTCATGGCGGACGTTAGAGATCTCATGATGTCTTTCGCAAGGGTAGGCCACTGTGTCGCCGGCGTCACGGTCCAAATTTGACAAAATTTGAAATAGTAATAATAAAATAATCATAAAAATTACACAACTGAGATTACACACAGCAATCGTGGCCCCCTACTGGCAGACCTCGGAGCTTGGACAATCGTTGGCACCGGTTTCTGGCCACCTTGCAGCCTGTCTCTGTTTCCTGCCATAATCAGCTAGATGCACCCAAATGGCCCCCTCTCTTTAGTAACCGACGTTCTGATTATGATTATTATTCTTGTTACATCTGTGTGTGAGGAGCGGTTGTGTAGCGGTTGGTGTGCGCTGCGGTATGAACCCGGCGACCCGAATTTTGATTCCCGCTCGTGGTCAACACTCGTGACGATTATCTGAAACGGTTCTGGGCCTCCCCAAGGTGCGGTGTAGTAAACATCGCCACTGGGGAGACAAAGGGCGGTGGTGCTGACCACCTACCCCCTCGTGCGCCGTGCCGGCCTTCATAAGTGCTACTCGCTAACAGCACTTGCCCCAACAGTCTGTTAAAGGCTATACGGGGATCTTTGTTGTGTGTGTGTGTGATGTTTTCGCTAACAGCCCTTGCCCCAGCAGTCTGTTAAAGGCTATACGGGGGATCTTTGTTGTGTGTGTGTGAGGTTCTGGCTAACAGCCCTTGCCCCAGCAGTCTGTTAAAGGCTATACGCGGGATCTTTGTTGTGTGTGTGTGAGATTCTCGCTAACAGCCATTGCCCCAGCAGTCTGTTAAAGGCTATATGGGGGATCTTTGTTGTGTGTGTGTGTGAGTTATTGCTAACAGCCCTTGCCCCAGCAGTCTGTTAAAGGCTATACGGGGGATCTTTGTTGTGTGTGTGAGCAAGATTCTCGCTAACAGCCCTTGCCCCAGCAGTCTGTTAAAGGCTATACGGGGGATCTTTGTTGTGTGTGTGTGTGAGGTTCTGGCTAACAGCCCTTGCCCCAGCAGTCTGTTAAAGGCTATACGGGGGATCTTTGTTGTGTGTGTGTGGGTGAGGTTCTGGCTAACAGCCCTTGCCCCAGCAGTCTGTTAAAGGCTATACGGGGGATCTTTGTTGTGTGTGTGTGTGAGGTTCTGGCTAACAGCCCTTGCCCCAGCAGTCTGTTAAAGGCTATACGCGGGATCTTGTTGTGTGTGTGAGGTTCTGGCTAACAGCCCTTGCCCCAGCAGTCTGTTAAAGGCTATACGGGGGATCTTTGTTGTGTGTGTGTGTGAGGTTCTGGCTAACAGCCCTTGCCCCAGCAGTCTGTTAAAGGCTATACGCGGGATCTTTGTTGTGTGTGTGTGTGAGATTCTCGCTAACAGCCCTTGCCCCAGCAGTCTGTTAAAGGCTATACGGGGGATCTTTGTTGTGTGTGTGTGTGAGGTTCTGGCTAACAGCCCTTGCCCCAGCAGTCTGTTAAAGGCTATGCGGGGGATCTTTGTTGTGTGTGTGTGTGAGATTCTCGCCAACAGCCCTTGCCCCAGCAGTCTGTTAAAGGCTATACTTGGGATCTTTGTTGTGTGTGTGTGTGAGGTTCTGGCTAACAGCCCTTGCCCCAGCAGTCTGTTAAAGGCTATACGCGGGATCTTTGTTGTGTGTGTGTGTGAGATTCTCGCTAACAGCCCTTGCCCCAGCAGTCTGTTAAAGGCTATACGGGGGATCTTTGTTGTGTGTGTGTGTGAGGTTCTGGCTAACAGCCCTTGCCCCAGCAGTCTGTTAAAGGCTATGCGGGGGATCTTTGTTGTGTGTGTGTGTGAGATTCTCGCCAACAGCCCTTGCCCCAGCAGTCTGTTAAAGGCTATACGTGGGATCTTTGTTGTGTGTGTGTGTGAGGTTCTGGCTAACAGCCCTTGCCCCAGCAGTCTGTTAAAGGCTATACGGGGGATCTTTGTTGTGTGTGTGTGTGAGGTTCTGGCTAACAGCCCTTGCCCCAGCAGTTTGTTAAAGGCTATACGGGGGATCTTTGTTGCGTGTGTGTGAGGTTCTCGCTAACAGCCCTTGCCCCAGCAGTCTGTTAAAGGCTATGCGGGGGATCTTTGTTGTGTGTGTGTGTGAGATTCTCGCCAACAGCCCTTGCCCCAGCAGTCTGTTAAAGGCTATACGGGGGATTTTTGTTGTGTGTGTGTGTGAGGTTCTGGCTAACAGCCTTTGCCCCAGCAGTCTGTTAAAGGCTATACGTGGGGGACTCTGTCTGTGTGTGCTCAGGGCAGGAGGTGCGGAGCGTCTACACCTACAGCCCCGTTTCGGCGATCGCGTTCCTCCCCGAGCCGGGACTCCTCCTCTCCGCGTCCGGTGATTCGCGGGAGCACCATCACACACACGCACGCACGCACACGCGTACGTACACACACGCATACACACGGATTATTTTTTCCCCCTCCAAATTGGAGTCCGGTACAGAGTACAAAACCGCGACGCAGAAAGGGGGGGGTACAGAAACTCCGCGGAGCTTAGTCCCACCGCGCACACCGACGTTCAAGATCCCGTGACGTCACTCAAAAAGAGTAGGCCGTCCGTCGTGTGCCCCGCGACACGCTTTACATTCTCTAAATGTTGAAAAATGACTCAATGCCAAGTCGCTCGGTGGGTATCACGCACAGCAGCAGCAGCAGCAGCAACATCACCGCCCCCCCCCCCGCTCCTCCACTGTGAATCTACCGCAGAATGTGTCTGTGAAATATAGCTGCGCCTCTGTGATAGCCTTGTCCTATGAGAATGGTACGGAAATAAATGTTGTAGTAAATTATGATTAACTGTTAATGTAGCCCTCTCGTGGCTATCAGACCTCGACATTGGCATTTATGCTGCTGAGCGTATTGTCTGTGTGTGTGCGTTTCTGTGTGTGTGTGTCTGTGTTTGGGGAGCGGTAGTGGAGCGTTTAGCGCGACGCGCTACGGCGACCCGAGTTCAATTCCCGCTCACGGCCAACAACAACGACGATTTTCAGAAACGGTCCTGGGCCGACCCTAGGTTGACTCAGCCTCAAATGAGTACCTACTGTGGTGTGCAAACATCGCCACTCGGGCGTGGTGCTGGCCACCCACCCCCCCCCCCATGTGCTGTGCTGGCCTTCATCAGTGCTCACTAACAGCATTTGTCCCAAAAGTCTGTTAAGGCAATATGGGGGATCTTTGTCTGTGTGTGTGTGTGCCGGGGATGGGGAGACGGAGGGAAGCTGGACATGTGGGACCTCACGACGGGCGCCAGCGTGCAGTCGTTTCGTGCTCATGAAGACGCCATCACCTGCCTGCAGGTGAGAGCACACCTGTGCTCGTGTCTGTGTGTGTGTGCCCATGCGAATGTGTGCCTGCCTGTGTATGTATGTACGTTGAACTTCTTTTGCACCGTGCGTAGCCAACCATGCTAATTGGAGGTACGGGGGAAGGACAACAAACTTAACACAAAAAGCAGTTCTAAAGAAATTAGTTTTGAAAGTGCACTAGCTTATATACCCGGCGTTGCCCGGGCCAAAAAATATATCAAAACTACTCTTAAAAATCTAACAGCAGTGCGTACTGACTGTGGTGGTACCTGCTATGATTACAGCAGTGAATGCTGACTCTAGCAGTATTTATCGACTCTATAGCACAAAGTACTCACCTGACAGAGTGGCGTTGTGAGGCCTAGTCCCGTGCAGAGCCTCCGGCCTCGCCTAGATTGTCCAGCCGGCCGAGGTGGCACCTTGGCAGGCTGGGCTGCTATCCGTGACCCCCCCCTCCCAGCCACGATCTCCCCGGCCGCTCTGCAGTAATATCTACGGCCTATAGTGGTAGCATCTAGCGACTGTATATATTAGTAACCGCACACATCGGGGGGTGGGGGGGGGACATCACACTGAAGATTTAAGCTCAGTGTTTAGTGTATTTTTAAAGCATTTTTTACGCGAAAGAAAATGTCCCCCTCACTCCCACGGAAGGCGTGCGACTTGGCATGGGCCATCCCCCCCACCAAAGGCGCGTGAGTTGGTATGGTCGTGCACCCGTCATGAACAAATAAATTAAGAAATAGCGCAAAAAAATCGCACTAAATCGCTAAATAAACTAATTTCAAGTTGACGGATGTGAAAAAGGAATAGCGCTTGCTCACGGCTGGGCTTACGGCGTGGTACCCGGCTACTTTTATTTATTCAACGTAAACCCCACCGTTGGAGAGCCAAATCCTTCGCAATCGCGCGAACACACACAAAGCCACAAACCGACAAGCAGACGATGTTTTACTTATATATAGAAAGATAGCTCCATTGGCTTCCTAATATGAGAAGGAAGAGCAGTCCAGACGGCCGCAGAAGCGCATCTGAAAGCGCGCGATGTATTTGTTAGATGCCAAGCCAAAAGCGGCTGCGAGGATGACCGCCGTTTGCATGGTGATTTATGCAAGGCGTTGTGGTTTATTTGTGGCAAGCACTTTGTGTGTGATGAGTGTGACCGTGTAATGTATTCATTCAGCAAGGGGAAGCCAATGCAGCTTGGCCAGGACCTGTCACGTGTGTGTCCACATGTGTCTTTGTGTCTGACGCAAGAGGGAAGTGTTAACACGGCCGTTATCTCTCCCCGTCTCTCTCCCACGCTCTCTCTCCCCGCGTCTGTCTCTCCTCTTCCTCTCTCTCCCCCAAATTCTCCTCCTGACTCTTTCTTTCTCTATTTTTGTAATCTCTCTTCCTCACTTTCTCCTCCGCTTTCTCCCCAACCTGCTCCTCTCTTTCCCCTCTCTCCTCTTCTTCACTCCTCCCACTTCACGTTTGCTCTCTCTCTATCCGCTACCCCTATATCTCCCCGTATACCTATCTCTGCATCTCCCCATCTTCCTGTCACCCTGGCTCTCTCCCCATCTATCTCTCTCTCTCTACACATCTCCCCGGCTCCCTGTCTCTGTCCACGCCTGTTGCCTTCCATGCCTCTTTCTCTCTCTCCATCTTCCCATCTTTCTCCTCCCATCTCCCTGTCTCCCTGCCTATCTCCATGTTTCTCTCCTTCCCTGCCACTTTCTCGCTCTCCCCATCTCTCTCTCCCCGTCTCCTCATCCCTCTCCATGCATTTCTTCTTCCCTGCCTATTTCTCTCCATCCCCATCTCCCCATTTCTCTCTGTCTCTCTCCCCATCTCTACCTTCCGATCTCTTCCTCCACCTCGGGCTCTCCCTCTGTCTCTCTATCTCTCTCTCGTCTCTCGCTTGCTCCTCCCCTTCCGCCCTCGGCGCAAGCTGCACGGCTCGCTGGCGTGCACGGGTGGCCGGGATGGCCAGGTGCGCGTGTGGGAGCTGCGCCCGGGCCCCCGCCTGCACCTGCTCTTCTGCACGGAGGGCGAGGAGTGGAGCGCCGACGGGCGCCGCCGTGGCGCGTCCCCCCTGCGCTGCCTCCTGGCGGGGCCGCGACCCCACGGCCGCCTCCTCTACTCCGCCGACGAAGGCGCCAGCATCCGGGTCCTCGACTGGCGGACGGGTGAGGGTCGCGGCAGGGGTCGGGGTCGCGGTCAGTGTCACGAGGTCGCGGTGAGGGTCGCGATCGGGGTCACGGTCAAGGTCGGAGTCTTGGTGAGGGTCGGGGCACGGTCAGTGTCCCAGTCGGGGTCATGGACGGGGTCAGGGTCCCGCTCGGGCAGGACTGTGGCTCGGTAAGTCACATCTAACGGCGTTAGTCACCCATCCCCTTGTACATAAGAGATGCTCTCCGTGGTGTGTGTGTGTACGTATGTAGAACTTCTTCCGCACCGTAAGTAGCCAACCGCGTTAATCGGAGGTGCGGTACATTTGTTGATCCAGGTCTCTCTTGCAAATGAGACTCATCCTGGTCCCTTGAGTTCTTAACCTTGTTACTCAAAATCAACTTGAAACCCTCCCTTATCGCCCTTCCCCTCCACCCCCCTCCCTATCAGGCTCCATATTGCGGAAGCTGCCCAACCACAACAGCGACTGCGGCTTCACCGACTGCCTGTCCATGGCAAGCGATGGCGGCGATGGCGGCACTCGCCTGATGCTGTCCGCGGGCTACGACATTGACCGAGGTCACGGCTACATCAACGGTGAGCGGTGGGGCAGAGGTCGCAAACGGGTTTTGATTCCTTACCCGCACCCGTTTCCCGGCCGCACCAGGGTCGCAAACGGGTACCCATACCCGGCCGTACCCGTACCCGGCCGGGCACGGGTATGGTACGGGTATCGGGTACCTGATTGCGACCTCTGGGATGAAGCCATGTTGCAGGCGCGGGTGGGTTGATTCTAGGAACTTGAATTGTGAGAAGAGACAAGACGTTGGGAAATGAGTGACAAACAGTTACTCACCAGTGACTCACGGCCTACCCGTACCCGGCCGCACCAGGGTCGCAAACGGGTACCCGTACCCGTACCCAGCCGGGTACGGGTAGCCGGGTATCGGGTAGGGTACGGGTATCGGGTACCCGGTTGCGACCTCTGCACCTGAGCAGCCACTGCTCCCGCCACCGTGGCGCCTGGTGTGCAGGAAGTCGTTGGTTCGATCCCGACCCTAATGCCTGCGGTATGTTTGGAGTTTACGTGTCTCTCTCTCCTTCGTAGTCGAGTCGATTTTTCTCCGGGTCCTCCGGTTTTTCCCTCATTTCGAATTAACCGCACGCGTTTGCAGTATTTGGCTGCTGTAGATGTCCACGCGATAAGCCACTTAGTTGAGCTATCATTTGTGATGGCCAGGTCGCTTCTAAAAACAAGCGATATAGCTCAGTGGCCCTTACCTGATAAAATAAAAAAACAGTTCTAGTTTCTATTTAAAGCTTTCGTGACTGCAGGGATTCATCTTCTTGGTTCTTTCGGTTGTGGCCGAAACGTCGTGAGAATTATTTTATTATGTTTTATTTTTATTATTTTATTATTTCAATTCTACGTGACTTTACCGAAAGATCCAAGAAGATGAGTTTTAGTTTCGTGTCTCCGTCCTCTCGCCCGTTGCCCCTCCCCTGCCCCCCCCCCCCCCCCGTGCATTCAGTGCGGCTGCTCGCGGAGGGCGGGGAGCCGTACGTAGCGACGCTGGGGGGTGAGGCGACCCCCCGCCTGCTCTGCGTCGCCACCACCTGCACCCCCAGCGGCCTGCAGCGCTGGGGCACGGGGGGGCGGAGCCTCCTCCTGTGGGAGGAGCTCCCGCACGGGGGCGGAGCCAACAGCCACCACCGCGAAAACGGGTACGCGGGCAGACGTCACTGGCACACGTGAGGTTACTCGTCACTCACGCACGGGTACGTGTCACTCATCTCTCAAGGCCACCACCTGTGACGATTATCTGAACCGGTCCTGGGCCTCCCCTAAGTCGACTCGGCCTCAAATGAGTATCCGGTGCGGTGTGTAAACATCGCCACTGGTGCCGCCCACCCACTCTCTCGTGTGCCGTGCTGGCCTGCATAGGTGCTCGCCACAGCACTTACCCCGACAGTCTGTTGAGGCTATGAGGGGGAGCCTTGTCTTTGTCTGTGTTTGGGGAGCGGTAGTGCAGTGGTTAGCACGCCGCGCTACAAACCCGGCCACCCGAGTTCGATTCCCGCTCACGGTCATGAACGCCAGTGACGATTATCGTGCTAATCGCACGTCCGATTAGCACGGTTGGCTATGTACCGTTCAAAAGAAGTTTAACATGTATATATACATCTTAACCGGTCCTGGGCCTCCACTAGGTCGACTCAGCCTCAGTCTATTAAGGCTACACGGGGGAGCCTATATCTTTGTCCGTGCATGCGTGCAGACACGTTGTGGCCTCGAGCTTCCGGCGCGAGTTTGAGCGAGACGAAGAAGTCTGGAGCGACGACGAGAGCTCGGCCTCCGACAGCTCGCTCGGTGAGTGCAGCGGAGAAACACAATCTTTATTTATGCTGGAGGAGGAATCCGATGAGCCTGTGAAGCTCTTTTCCACAGATGTCCAGAAGGGGCGCGAGGTAAGAACGTTACGACGCCAAACAATACAAAAACACGATAGGAGTACAAGAAAGAGCGAACAGGTCACCTAAACACATCCAAATTAAACGAAGCCATCCCCATCCTACCAGGCAAAGCCCACCGATGCATTCACTTATTTTTCAGAAGCGACCTGGCCACAAATGATCGTTCAGCAAAGTGGCTTATCACGTGGAAATCTATAGCAACCAAATATCACTCGCACCACCCAGAGCCGCACCACCCAGAGTCGCACCACCCAGAGCCGCACCACCCAGTGCCGCACCACCCAGAGCCGCACCACCCAGAGCCACACCACCCAGAGCCGCACCACCCAGAGCCGCACCACCCAGAGCCGCACCACCCAGAGTCTCACCAGCCAGAGCCGCACCACCCAGAGCCACACCACCCAGAGCCGCACCACCCAGAGCCGCACCACCCAGAGCCGCACCACCCAGAGCCACACCACCCAGAGCCCCACCACCCAGAGCCACACCACCCAGAGCCACACCACCCAGAGCCACATGACCCAGAGCCGCACCACCCAGAGTCTCACCACCCAGAGCCGCACCACCCAGAGCCACACCACCCAGAGCCGCACCACCCAGAGCCACACCACCCAGAGCCCCACCACCCAGAGCCCCACCACCCAGAGCCACACCACCCAGAGCCACACGACCCAGAGCCGCACCACCCAGAGTCTCACCACCCAGAGCCGCACCACCCAGAGCCACATGACCCAGAGCCGCACCACCCAGAGCCACACCACCCAGAGCCGCACCACCCAGAGCCACATGACCCAGAGCCGCACCACCCAGAGCCGCACCACCCAGAGCCACATGACCCAGAGCCGCATGACCCAGAGCCGCACCACCCAGAGCCCCACCACCCAGAGCCACACCACCCAGAGCCACATGACCCAGAGCCGCACCACCCAGAGCCGCACCACCCAGAGCCACATGACCCAGAGCCGCACCACCCAGAGCCGCACCACCCAGAGCCACACCACCCAGAGCCGCACCACCCAGAGCCACACCACCCAGAGTCACATGACCCAGAGCCACACCACCCAGAGTCTCACCACCCAGAGCCGCACCACCCAGAGCCACATGACCCAGAGCCACATGACCCAGAGCCACACCACCCAGAGCCACACCACCCAGAGCCGCACCACCCAGAGCCACACCACCCAGAGCCGCACCACCCAGAGCCGCACCACCCAGAGCCACATGACCCAGAGCCGCACCACCCAGAGCCGCACCACCCAGAGCCACACCACCCAGAGCCGCACCACCCAGAGCCGCACCACCCAGAGCCGCACCACCCAGAGCCGCACCACCCAGAGCCACACCACCCAGAGCCGCATGACCCAGAGCCACACCACCCAGAGCCACACCACCCAGAGCCGCACCACCCAGAGCCGCACCACCCAGAGCCGCACCACCCAGAGCCACACCACCCAGAGCCGCACCACCCAGAGCCACACCACCCAGAGCCACACCACCCAGAGCCGCACCACCCAGAGCCGCATGACCCAGAGCCGCATGACCCAGAGCCGCATGACCCAGAGCCGCACTACCCAGAGCCGCACTACCCAGAGCCACACCACCCAGAGCCACACCACCCAGAGCCGCACCACCCAGAGCCACACCACCCAGAGCCGCACCACCCAGAGCCACACCACCCAGAGCCGCACCACCCAGAGCCGCACTACCCAGAGCCGCACCACGCAGAGCCACACCACCCAGAGCCGCACCACCCAGAGCCACACCACCCAGAGCCGCACCACCCAGAGCCACACCACCCAGAGCCGCACCACCCAGAGCCACACCACCCAGAGCCGCACCACCCAGAGCCACACCACCCAGAGCCGCACCACCCAGAGCCACACCACCCAGAGCCACACCACCCAGAGCCGCACCACCCAGAGCCGCACCACCCAGAGCCGCACCACCCAGAGCCACACCACCCAGAGCCACACCACCCAGAGTCGCACCACCCAGAGCCGCACCACCCAGAGCCACACCACCCAGAGCCGCACCACCCAGAGCCACACCACCCAGAGCCGCACCACCCAGAGCCGCACCACCCAGAGCCACACCACCCAGAGTCTCACCAGCCAGAGCCGCACCACCCAGAGTCACGCCACCCAGAGTCACACCACCCAGAGCCACACCACCCAGAGTCTCACCACCCAGAGTCTCACCACCCAGAGTCACACCACCCAGAGTCACACCACCCAGAGCCTCACCACCCAGAGCCACACCACCCAGAGCCACACCACCCAGAGCCGCACCACCCAGAGCCGCACCACCCAGAGCCACACCACCCAGAGCCGCACCACCCAGAGCCACACCACCCAGAGCCGCACCACCCAGAGCCACACCACCCAGAGCTGCACCACCCAGAGCCGCACCACCCAGAGCTGCACCACCCAGAGCCGCACCACCCAGAGCCGCACCACCCAGAGCCGCATGACCCAGAGCCACACCACCCAGAGCCTCACCACCCAGAGCCACACCACCCAGAGCCGCACCACCCAGAGCCGCACCACCCAGAGCCGCACCACCCAGAGCCGCACCACCCAGAGCCACACCACCCAGAGCTGCACCACCCAGAGCCGCACCACCCAGAGCCACACCACCCAGAGCTGCACCACCCAGAGCCGCACCACCCAGAGCCGCACCACCCAGAGCTGCACCACCCAGAGCCGCACCACCAGAGCTGCACCACCCAGAGCTGCACCACCCAGAGCCGCACCACCCAGAGCCACACCACCCAGAGCCGCACCACCCAGAGCCGCACCACCCAGAGCCGCACCACCCAGAGCCGCACCACCCAGAGCCGCACCACCCAGAGCCGCACCACCCAGAGCCGCACCACCCAGAGCCACACCACCCAGAGCCACATGACCCAGAGCCGCACCACCCAGAGCCGCACCACCCAGAGCCGCACCACCCAGAGCCGCACCACCCAGAGCCACACCACCCAGAGCCACACCACCCAGAGCCTCACCACCCAGAGCCGCACCACCCAGAGCCGCACCACCCAGAGCCGCACCACCCAGAGCCGCACCACCCAGAGCCGCACCACCCAGAGCCGCACCACCCAGAGCCGCACCACCCAGAGCCGCACCACCCAGAGCCGCACCACCCAGAGCCGCACCACCCAGAGCCGCACACCCAGAGCCGCACCACTCAGAGCCGCACCACCCAGAGCCGCACCACCCAGAGCCGCACCACCCAGAGCCGCACCACCCAGAGCCGCACCACCCAGAGCCGCACCACTCAGAGCCGCACCACCCAGAGCCGCACCACTCAGAGCCGCACCACGCAGAGCCGCACCACTCAGAGCCGCACCACCCAGAGCCGCACCACCCAGAGCCGCACCACCCAGAGCCGCACCACCCAGAGCCGCACCACCCAGAGCCGCACCACCCAGAGCCGCACCACCCAGAGCCGCACCACCCAGAGCCGCACCACCCAGAGCCGCACCACCCAGAGCCGCACCACCCAGAGCCGCACCACCCAGAGCCGCACCACCCAGAGCCGCACCACCCAGAGCCGCACCACCCAGAGCCGCACCACCCAGAGCCGCACCACCCAGAGCCGCACCACCCAGAGCCGCACCACCCAGAGCCGCACCACCCAGAGCCGCACCACCCAGAGCCGCACCACCCAGAGCCGCACCACCCAGAGCCGCACCACCCAGAGCCGCACCACCCAGAGCCGCACCACCCAGAGCCGCACCACCCAGAGCCGCACCACCCAGAGCCGCACCACCCAGAGCCGCACCACCCAGAGCCGCACCACTCCAGAGCCGCACCACTCAGAGCCGCACCACCCAGAGCCGCACCACCCAGAGCCGCACCACCCAGAGCCGCACCACCCAGAGCCGCACCACCCAGAGCCGCATGACCCAGAGGGCCGCGGCTGTTGGCCCTTCTTGTGATCGATCAACCGATCGACCGAACATTATCAATGTGAATCTTTAAATGAGTATCATTGGTACTTGTGTTTTTGGGACTGTCTTCGTCATCATGCAGTTGACCAAGAACATTTTGACAACTGCCGGATGGTTTAACACGTAGGCCTTCGCGACCAATATCATCCATAATATACGGGATTTTTTTTGGGTTAGATCGCGTTAATATCAATGTGTCGTTTAACCCGCCACCACCCGAAACAGCCAATTAGTAAGGTTTGTCATGTAAGCGTAACGTACTCTTAGGTTTTTTCGGTAAAGTCACGTAGGTAAAAAATAAAAAATACAAATAATAAGTCTCCGTCATCAGGTGGAACCGTCACAGCTAGATTTACTGTATCAAGTGATTTTATTTCTATTATTATTTCTATAATTTTTATTATTTATTTTTATTTTTTACCTACGTGACTTTACCGAAAAAACCTAAGAGTATGAATCCTTGCAGTCACGAAAGCTTCAAATCTAGAATAAACAGAACGTGCCAATTCGTTACTAGTACAGCCACACCGGTATGTTGGAGAGCAAATCCACAACATTTACAATCTGAGTACGACGTTTCGCCAGTAATTACAACCGGTATCCCGTATTATGCCTGATGGTGATGATGATGCTGCTGGCTGTAACCATCGGCGAGACATGTGCTCTCGAGTTGTTTGGTGTGTGCGGGTCGCTGTCCCTACTGCAACAGCAACACCGGCGGTGCTGCTGAAGTGGTAATACGTCATGCCACATCCGAGATCTTCACACCAGTCCAAAACTTTTCATTTCGCCACTGACATCACTGCCTCCGAGCTGCGGCGGAGCGCCGTGACCGTAGCCTGCGTTGTATTTTCTTCACGATGAGACCTCCACTCATATTCGCCACCGCACCACGCCTTTTCTACGGGAGGTCGTGGGTTCGATCCTGACCCTGACGCTGTATATTTGGAGTCTGCGTCTTTATCTCATCACCGCAGTGGCTTGAAGATGTTAACTACCTCGCCTGGTATACAGTGAGGTCGTGGGTTCGATCCCGACCCCAGACACCTGCTGCTGTATATTTGGAGTCTGCTCTCTCTCTCCCCGTGGCCACGTGGATTTTTCTCCCGGGTCCTCCGGTTTTCCCCTCCACACTTAGAATGAACATCACGTGTTTATGTATTTGGCTGCCGTACATTTCCACGTGATGAGCCACTTCGTTGAGCTATCATTTGTAATAGCCAGGTCGCTTCTGAAAAAGAGCAATATAGCTCAGTGGGCATTAACCTAGTAAAATAAAAATAGTTTAGTTTGGACTTCACATTCTAAATCAGTCTGGTGTTTTCAACACAGCCATTAAGAACCCCCCGAGACAGATAGAGAGACACATCCAGACTTGGCCTTGGTATTTTGAAACCAGGATCTTGATGGCGCTTTCTCAGTATCTGTGGCATGGCCATTTTCAATCCCCTGAGAGACAGAGATACCAATATAGTTAATCTCTCCAGTGTGTCTGACACAGCCATTGTAAACCTCCTCCCCCCCCCCCCCCGCCCGTCGTTTTCCATCATCCAGGCTCAAGTTCCAGGGCTTCGAGCAGCGAAGACGACACGGAGCCTGTGAACGGGAGGAGGAGGACCTGGTGCAGCGTCATGTGATCGCAGCCCAGGGGGGCACCGGCCACACGGGGAACGGTGGCTCGCGCGTCCTTTCCACAACCACTGCCGGCCCAGTTCTGGCCCGGGCTCCGTGATCGACTCTGCTTCTCCATCACCTCTTTGCTACACCGACAACCGAGCCGTGCCGTGCCGTGGCCAGCCCTGGTGCGGCTCAGGAGGCGCCAGGGCGGTTTTTCCACTGCGCGAGCCGAGCCGAGCCCGCCCCGGCTTGGCCCCGAGCGGGTTTCAGACGTCTGGTGACGCCAGCGTAGCACGGTTTGGCTCTGGGCTACTACCCGTTGCCGTGAGAGTGCCACGCTGGCTCAGCTGGGCTGTTGCCACTTGGCAACCGGGCCCGTGCTGGCCTGCTGTCAGACTGGTTCCGGCCCAGGCAGAGCACTAGGACACGAAGTCAGTTCCCATGATTTGTGAGCCAGGGGGCACACCATCCACCCTGCCCTTTGTAGCTACAGAGAGAGAGAGAGGCGGGGGGAGGGGCTCGGGAAGCAATCTTAAAAGGGCGACTTTTACTAAATTTCAGAGTAGACTGATGAGTTGATGGGTTACGGAACGGTTTGCCCACCATGGGTTACCCATTCAGGAATTGACTCCGTTTAAAAATAAATAGATATATAGTACCTTTTTCTCCGCCTTTATCTCGATTGTTGCCATCGTCGTCGTCACGAGACGAGCACGCGTTTCACTTTGGACCTCTGGCACCGACGTGAGGTCCAAGTCGGAGGGTGCCCCCCCCCACCCTCTGCCCCCCCCACCCTCTGCCCCCCCCCCCACCCCCCGCTCCCATCTCTGGCGGCGGGCCTGACTCCGCACCCTCCGATTAGCACGGTTGGCTACGCGCGGCGCGAAAAGAAGTTCGGGGCGCACACGTACGTAGAAATTCCACGTTCCTTTGGCAGAGACTGTTCCTCCAAAAACACGGTCTCACGGTTGACATCCTATCGAGGTGGCTGCTCATTTTCTTGACGCTGGAGGGAGAATAACGATGGATGTTCCGAGTCAACCCGTGACCGGGACTTGACCGCGATTGTGAGTCGAACGCTGCGCTTTACCGTGGCATCTTCTGGCCTGGTTCGATAGGACTGACAACACTAATTATCGCAATAATATTACACTGCGTCGTTCGTTATGCCACGCGCGCGCCTTGTCGGACTCGTGTCAGTGCTTCACGTCTTATCTCGGCAGGTGGTCACCGTCGGAATGCGAGGCGACGATCCGGAACCGATCCGGAACCGCTCCGGGGGTGTTCTGGGAAGGCCCCCCCCTGCGGCCCCCCCCTGCGGCCCCCCCCCTGTGGCCCCCCCCCTGCGGCCCCAAGGGGGGTTAGACCCCAGGGGGGGTATAGGCCCCAGCGGATGGTTAGGCCTCAGAGGGGAGGTTAGGCTCCAGAGGGGGGGTTGTTAGGCCCCAGGCTTTGATTCCGCGGAAGGAGAAATCGCGGCGCTTTCTCTAATTGCGTGCCGCTTTACTCCGAAGCAGTGCGGGTGATTTTTTTTCCGCCACGGACTTTCAGCAGTCGCCTTCCGCGTAGTCGGATCCCACACTCGGCCCGTGTGCGAAAGCGATCGGTCGAGAGTGGGCGCAGCGTAGGGGTTCATCTTGTCTCTGCCGATTGGGAAATCGTCGACGTAAATACGAGCGAGTGATGGCGCCCCGAGCCTGTAGGAGACCGTCGAGTAAAGGTCCGTGCGTGTCGGTGCGTTCCATCTGTGCTTGTGGATCAGTGCTGTGTGTGTTGGTGAGTGCTCTCTGTGTGTGTTGGTGAGTGGTGTGTGTGTGTTGGTGAGTGGTGAGTGGTGTGTGCGTGTCGGTGAGTGGTGTCTGTGTTAGTGAGTGCTGTGTGTGCGTGTCGGTGAGTGGTGTGTGTGTGTGTCAGTGAGTGCTCTCTATGTGTGTTGGTGAGTGGTGTGTGTGTGTCGATGAGTGCTGTGTGTGTTTGTGAGTGCTCTGTGTCGGTGAGTGGTGTGTACGTGTCGGTGAGTGGTGTCTGTGTGTGTGTGTTGGTGAGTGTGCTGTGTGTGTGTGTTGGTGAGTGCTCTTGTGTGTGTCGGCGAGTACCCCTGGCCGTGTGTGTCGAGCCGTGCCGTGCTTCGTCTGAGTGTCCTGTCACTCGGGGCTCGTGCGCGTCTCCAGCGGTCAGGAGCGTCGTAATGAAGGTGACGGATTTGTGCCAAAACGGAGGTTCCCGAGTTCAGATTTACAGCGATTTCTAAAATGTGACGGCAATAAATGTCATAGTAGAAGTTTCGCTGTGTGCACGCGTGTGTGTCAAACGTGTTAATATATTTGTAATTAAGTGTATGTAGGTGTGCGCGCGTGAGCTGGCGTGTGTCAATGCTACGAACCCAGCGACCCGAGTTCGATTCCTGCTCGCGGCCAACTTAAGTGGTGAACAATCCCTACTGGTCCTGGGGACTTCCCTTAGGTCGCCTCAGCCTTAAATGAGCACCTGGTGCGGTGTGTAAACATCAGCATTGGGGAGACAAAGGCGGCCGGAGCGTGGTGCTGGCCACCCACCCCCTCGTGTGCTGTTTCGGCCTTTGGTAATGATAACGGCACTTGTCCCAACAGTCTGTTAAAAGCTATACGGGGGATCTTTGTCTTTTGTCAGTGCCCCTAACCTGGCAAAAGCTCTGTGGTGACGTTGCCAGCACTGAGTGAGGCATGATTGCTATTTTGTGCGCGCGCGCGCGCATATCGACCTATCCGTGTGTGCACGTGCGTGGGGAGCGGTGGTGCAGCGGTTAGTGCGCTGCGCTACGAACCCGGCGACCCGAGTTCGATTCCCGCTCACGGCCACCAACACCGGCGACGACAACAACAACCGCTATTCGCCACTAAGTGGCGGTGACGTCACCACCACGGCGTTTGTGCCAGGCTTTGTGCACGTTAAAGCCACGTGAAGCGTCGACCCAGCAGGTGCCATGCGGTTGACTGGCCGAGATGATCTTCTTGGTTTTTTCGGTAAAGTCACGTAGAAGGGAAGTAATAAAATAATGAGTGGCCGATGCACCGCCTGTGACCCCCACTGTGCGAACAAAGACTGCGTCACGCGCGTTCAGATGCGCTGCTTCTGTGACCGTCTGGAACGCTCTTCCTTTCTGATATTAGAAAGCCACTGGGGAGCTACGCACTTTTACTTCATCATTTAGATTGATAAACTCACTTCTTTAGAACTGCCTTTTGTCTTTAGTTTGTTATCCTTCCCCCCCCCCGCACCTCCGAATTAGCACGGTTGGCTACGTACGGTGCGAAAGAAGTTCAACTTACACACAGGGACAGCTGCCACTGTGGGAGGGGGTGCCCCTTTCAAACGCGTTGATACGAGACGCGTGTGGTACAGCGCTCTTGAGACGTCACAGCATATTGGGGAAGAGGACGATGTCTCTACGAATCCCCACAATCATGATGAGGACTATGATGAAGATCGCGATGATCGCGTCAAGATCATCACAGTGCCATCGACCGAGCTCGAGAACTAAACTCGCCTCTGTCCACTAGACGGCGCCATTGAGGAGAGGAGTAGGTGAAGAGGGCACGCCAAGGAAGGGGGAAGGAGGCTTGGGGGAGGGGGGGTTCGACAGGGTCCAGGCTGCCGGGGGCTTAAAGCACGAGCGGTTGAAGACTCGAGGCCGAGAATGGGCATGGAGAGAGTGGGGAGAGAGACACGGTGGGGAGAGAGAGTGGGGAGAGAGACAGCGGAGAGAGACAGTGGGGAGAGAGACACGGTGCGGAGAGACAGTGGGGAGAGAGACAGCGGAGAGAGACAGCGGGGAGAGAGACACGGTGCGGAGAGACAGTGGGGAGAGAGACACGGTGCGGAGAGACAGTGGGGAGAGAGACAGCGGAGAGATAGCAGGGAGAGAGACACGGTGCGGAGAGACAGTGGGGAGAGAGACAGCGGAGAGAGACAGCGGGGAGAGAGACAGCGGAGAGATAGCAGGGAGAGAGACACGGTGCGGAGAGACAGCGGGGGAGAGAGACAGCGGAGAGAGACACGGTGGGGAGAGAGTGGGGGAGAGAGACAGCGTGGAGAGAGACACGGTGGGGAGAGAGTGGGGGAGAGAGACACGGTGGGGAGAGAGTGGGGGAGAGAGACAGCGGGGAGAGAGACACGGTGGGGAGAGAGTGGGGGAGAGAGACAGCGTGGAGAGAGACACGGTGGGGAGAGAGTGGGGGAGAGAGACAGCGTGGAGAGAGACACGGTGGGGAGAGAGTGGGGGAGAGAGACACGGTGGGGAGAGAGTGGGGGAGAGAGACACGGTGGGGAGAGAGTGGGGGAGAGAGACAGCGGGGAGAGAGACACGGGGGGGAGAGAGTGGGGGGAGAGAGACAGCGTGGAGAGAGACAGCGGGGAGAGAGACACGGTGGGGAGAGAGTGGGGGAGAGAGACAGCGTGGAGAGAGACAGCGGAGAGAGACACGGTGGGGAGAGAGTGGGGGAGAGAGACAGCGGAGAGAGACAGCGGGGAGAGAGACACGGTGGGGAGAGAGTGGGGGAGAGAGACAGCGTGGAGAGAGACACGGTGGGGAGAGAGTGGGGGAGAGAGACAGTGGGGAGAGAGAGTGGGGAGAGAGACAGCGTGGAGAGAGACACGGTGGGGAGAGAGTGGGGGAGAGAGACACGGTGGGGAGAGAGTGGGGGAGAGAGACAGCGGAGAGAGACAGCGGAGAGAGACACGGTGGGGAGAGAGTTGGGGAGAGAGACAGCGCGGAGAGAGACAGCGGAGAGAGACACGGTGGGGAGAGAGTGGGGGGAGAGAGACAGCGTGGGGAGAGAGTGGGGGAGAGAGACAGCGGAGAGAGACAGCGTGGAGAGAGACAGCGGGGAGAGAGACGGTGGGGAGAGAGTGGGGGAGAGAGACAGCGGAGAGAGACAGCGGAGAGAGACAACGGTGGGGAGAGAGTTGGGGAGAGAGACAGCGTGGAGAGAGACAGCGGAGAGAGACACGGTGGGGAGAGAGTGGGGGAGAGAGACACGGTGGGGAGAGACTTTGACTTTTAAAAACCTTTTATTGTCGCCAGCCGCAACAGCACTGGAGGCGATTCCGATACGAAATACGCAGTCACCAGTAACAAATAACACAAAACCACGCACTCTGGCGCTTAGATGCACCGCGCACAACACGAAAGAAAAGCCACGTGGTGGTGGTGGTCATCGCACACGCCACGATGACGAGCGAGCGCTTCAGAAGGTGAACACCACGAGCGTGCCGTCCACGCTGGTGCAGAGAGGGGCTTGTCCGGCCCCCCAGCGTTCGAAGAAGACGCGCTGCACATCACCGCCACGTGTGTGGTACATGGCGTGCTCCAGCCGGAGCCGCGCCTTGAGCAGGCCCCTGAACACTGGAAGCTCCACAGAGCAGCCGTCAGTGTCACCTTCCAGCATCTTTTTTCTCGTTCTGTACACCGCCATTTCGCCTGAGCACAAGCGAAGTTGGCGAGGTCATGGCGCTTGTTAGCCAGGTAAGGCACCACCCCATATACGAAGCTGCTGTTGTAGAAGGGCACCCTCAGTTTCCTGAAGATTTCCCCCAAAAAGCGGAACATTGGTTTGAGCCGCTGGCAGTGTAAGTACCGGTGGGGCAGATCCTCCCTGGCACCGCAGCAAATGCACAAGTCTGTTACCCCTGGCGAGATTCGGCTGAGCCACACGGCCGATGGAAACGTCCAGTGTGCCAACCTCCACTGGAGGTCACCGCAGCGTTTGGCTACGGGGAGACTTGTACAACGTGGAGAGAGACAGCGCGGAGAGAGACATTTGGCACAATAGGGGGCACAGGTGGTGCATCGGGCAGTCATCTCAGTCAGTCGACCCGTGGCACCTGCTGGGTCTGCCCCGTGACCTCCTGCTGCAGGCGTTCGACACTTCGCGTGGCCTCAACGTGCACGTAGCCTGGCACAAGCGCCGTGGTGACGTCACCGCCACTGAGTGGCGAATGGCGGTTGTTGTTGTCACTGGCAGGGGTAGGGTGACACGTGCCCCCCCCCCAATGATCCGATCTAAATCCCTAATTTCAATCGGATCATTGGGGTTTATTAGTAATAAATCGGCATTTTGCGACCCCCACTGCCACTGTGTAGCATGGTATTATGTGCCAGGGACTCTATGAGATGATAGTCCATAATTGGCAATAAGTAACGGCAAAGCGGTTATAAGTGACTCAGAATTGTGCGCAGTTGCGTCTGTAGTGACATAAGAAGGGAGGGGCTGCTGTAGGCTCTGGGTTCCCAGGTGGGTCCAGACGCGTAATCCCCTGGGCGCCAGGCGCTGGGTTCCCAGGGGGTCCAGACGCTTAAGCCTCTGGGCGCCGCCAACGGGGGGGCTGTGTGTGCTCTGTGGGATGTCTGGTGGCGCACACGGCCCCACCCCTCGTTGGGGACTGGGCATATAACCGGAGCTCCCTGGACGATCGGCCCCAGTTGTAACTCAAGACCCAAGACCCACGACCAGCCATCTGAAGACCCTGGGATGCTGTGAGAGCCAGCGCTGGGACTCTGGAACTCCCGACTGTACGACCTTGTGAGGGCGAGCGTAGCCAGAGTAGAGTATCTAGAGTATCTAGGCTGTGTAGCTAGGCTGTGTACCTAGGCTGTAACAGAGTATCAGGACTGTTGGAGTGTTTGTATTGTAATAAAGAAGTTACATCTACAAGTGTCTCCGGAACCCGTTACATTTGGTGTTAGAAGTGGCTATGGAGACAAGAAGTAAGCCACGTACCTTCAGTCATGACGGCGATGAAGAGGAGCAGGCAGCGATGGGGCAGCCAACGCCGGCCGACAACAAACGCCGCACCGCCGGCTGAGCAGCTGTCTGCTCCGCCGACCGTCCCCTCTCCAGCGTCGGGAGCAGAGAGGAGGAGGCGCTGCTTCGCCTTGCAGAGCTGCTCTGCGCCACCGCCTCCCTCCTGGGCGAGCTGCGGTGCTCGCAGGCGATGGCGGGAAGGAGAGAGGAGGCGCGGCGCTCGCCCGAGCCCGCCGCCGCCATTCCCCCCACGGATGTGAGAGATACTTCCGGGAATGACATCACTTCCACCAGAGGAGCAGTGACCGCTGGGAGCGACGTCACTTCCGGGCCCAGCGTGTGCCAACCCGACGACGCCGCGTCATCAGCGCTGCGTCCCTCAACCGCCGGGTGACAGCTGGCTTCAACCTAGCATACCGCGTCATCAGCGCTGCGACCGGACAGTGAGGGCGCCATTCTTACTGTAACCAGCGCCGGGGCCGGCACATGGACCGACTCGCTGC